GCTTATATTTGATTCTGATACATTTAAACAATACAATAAAATTAAATATCAAAACAAAACCAACAATGATTACCACCAGAGTTATACAACAGCACTGTAGGCAATAAAATTAAAAATAAACCCAGCCTTTATAATACAGGCCCAGCATTTAATTAAAATTATTGATGTCAATACTTGAAAATATATTAAGAGTTTTGATTATTTTTAAGTTTATATTAAGTTTTTTTATGCTTTTTAAAAAGTTATCTCTACACTAGGAATATCTCCTGTATACTAGGAACAGTTTACAATACATAAATAACACACAGGGACAAACATCCAGACCCCAAACAATTATTTTTAGGCCATACAAATACTAGTTCTGTGTGGGATTCGAACCTGCGGCCCGTAATGATACAACTCATTGCTAAGCCCCTGTACCACAGAGCCTTAAATGGAACGTCTACTGTACTCATTAAATTTTTAATCTATATATTTAATAAATCCTTTTTTCCAGAAGCAAAGTCAAGGTGGTGTGCCAGTGTGCACCGAATGCCTGGGTACTGACATCAGGAATCGTCTAGGAGCAGCAGAAGACTTGATTTGTTGCTACCAGTGCAAGTCCTACGCACATCCATCCTGCCTTGATTTGCTTGACCATGTCAGTTTATCTGTGTTAAAGGTAAGAAATTTTTGTTAATGTAAACATAATTAATAATTATTTTACAATTGAAAACCTAAACTATTCATGTGATTTTGAGAGTAAGTTTATATATTTAAAAAATCTAATCTAGTTGAGAACAATGTTTTTTTTTTGCCTGAGGGATTAAAATAGTAAATCAGTGAATTTGCAATAAATACAATTTTCCATTTTGAAAGCTCTTTTTCCCTTGTTTATTGATTAATATTACATTGGTAATTGAAGTCCAAAGACATAAATGTGAGCATAATCAATAACTAGGTGGTAGGTTTCCTTATCTGCTCTGGAGTCTTTTTGGGTAGACGTGACCCTCTTATTTCGTTGAAAGGTATAGCCCAACAAAAGTTATTGGTGAAATAAAGCATTATTTATTTTAACTCAATAGAATTTAATAATTTTAACAATTCTTCAAAATCTACATGTAATTGATGTAGAATTCCAAATGTACTAAAGATTACAGAAGTTTCATTTCTTTCCATCTAGTGTAGAGTAATTGAAAATTGTGTAAAAATTAATTGTAAATATTAATAAAATTACATGTTGTTATAATATATATAAATAGTTGGTAATTTATGTATTTGCATAAATATTAATGCCCATTATGATTTGGATTCACTTAGCCACTCAGTGATATATAAACATTAAAACTATCCATCCAACCAAATGCATCTTAAAATTATGTACAAAAATATAAATGATAATATTAATATGTAATAAATACACAGAATTTAAACAAATATTTAAGACTAATAGTTTTTCATCATATTATGATATTTCAAAATAATTCTATAATAAAATCACAGATATTGGTAATTTTCCATAAGGAAATAATTTTATTCATTGTGACAAAAGTAGTTGTTCATTACAGTAGTTTTATTGTCTTGTTATGATCTTAATGGTTAGATCTGTGATCTATAATGAATAGGTACATGCATGTAATTCTATGCATATAATATATTAATTATGGTTTTATTTTATATTTTTATTTAAAAGCAATAATTTTCCTTTTATTATAATTTTGTTCTTGAAAATTGATCCAAAGAATTATTATTAGAAGAATTTTGGGGTACTATTTTTTAGAGTAGGTTATATTTAGATAAGATAAGATAATCATTTATTGTCACAACTGTGTACATGAGGTCTTATAAATACAGAGTATAGTTACAACACTGTCCATTTTTAATGTACAATATAATATAAAAATAACAAGAAGCACAAGAGAAGATTAATAATTACTTTTAAAATATTTATTTAAAATATAAATTTTAAATTTGATACATTTTACATTTCTAATCTATCATCTTTAAAGTGTACTAGTTTAAACAATTTTTTTATGCTTATTAAATATTTATTACCATATAATTAATCCGCAAATTGTATAAATTTAATTGTTATAGAATATTAAAATCTGTTTTACTTAACTTGCCATACTGTTGTATTTTTAAGAAAATGTATAAATACAAAAATGTTATGTATAAAAAATATTTTAAATAAAATAAAATATTATTAAAATAAATTTAAATCTAGGCGTAATAATATTTGTTGTAAGATTTCTCTAAATTAAAAAACATTTGAGGTTATTTTTTTTGTTTGTTAAAAAAACGTTACCTCCACACTGGGATTTTCTCCTGTCGTGGAGGCAGTTTACAAACATAAATTGCACAAGGACAAACATCCAGACCCGGAACAATTATTTGTAGACCATACAAATACTTGTCCCGTGCGGGATTCGAAATCGCGGCCCCCAACGCAACAACTGATTGCTAAGCCACTGCGCCACGGAGCCGTCAATTATATTTGTTATGAAATTATATTTGATTTTAGGTTGATTGTATACATGTTAAAATTGGTAGTATTATATAAACAAACTTATGTAAGAAATCTGCAGTTCAGGCCATGTTGGACAAATTTAATTTTAATCATCAATATGGCATTTAACTGCCGCATTAGTGGAGAAGGGTAGTATGCCTATACTGTCCTGCTCCACTAATGCCTACGTGTCTACGCTACCGAGTGTGGCGAGCGCGTAGTAAACAAGAGTGCGGCGCAGGGGTTGCGGTGGGCGTGCGGCGAGTGCGCACGGTGCACGTCATGCGGTGGCGAGGGCGAGGGTGAGGGTGGCGGCGGCGGCGCGGCGGCGGAGGGGAGGGGCAGTGGGCCGTGCGCTGCGGCGCGTGCGCGCGCCACGCGCACCCGCGCTGCCGGCCGCCGCCGTGCCGCTGCCGCTCGCCGCGCTCGCAGCGCTCGCAGCGCCCGCAGCGCGCGCGCCGCGCCAGCGACCCGCCACCACACGACGACACCAGGTGCGCCCGCACTCACTCACCACGCTCATTCACTGCGCAACTACACACACACACACACACACACACACGTCATTGCACTGACTAATCCCAACAGAGAAACACAGATTACATTTAAGGTCTCTGCCCACTACACTGTATCATACCATGACCGTGCTAGGAACGTCTCAGACAAATAAATATTATTTGTATTGAAAAATATGACACTGTTCCCACTAGACCGTTCCGTCACCGACCAACACCGTCGCGTGCCATGCACGGAGCGTCAACAAATGTCGGCGAGAATATTTTGCCGGTGCTAACACGCTCTGTGCATGACACGCGACGTTGCCAAGACGCTGCGCACAGGCGGCGAGCAGGCAAGTATACGGGTTTTAAACGCGTATGAAGACCGTTATATAGGCGTGGTGTTTTTTGTTTTCTTCTTCTTCCTCATCCAATATTAAAGCAATCATCGCCAGTAGTCTAACAGTTAATTTTCTGATAGCCATACCTATTTTACAGTTTAAAAATTTGGTAGCACTCCAAGACGTCCACGCAACACTGTTACGCATGCGAGAATGAAACGGATTCCTATTGGTTTTGGTGGATGTTGCATACGAGCATCATACGGGTTGCATACTGACATCATACGGGATGTATACGGGCACAGAACGCCGTCGATCCGTTCAGTGGGCATAGTAGAGCGTATCGTGTTGCTTTTCGTGCCTGATACGCTCCTAGCACGGTCATGGTTTGATACGGTGTAGTGGGCAGAGACCTTTAATCGAAATTGAATACAATTGTTTTCTCAATGATGAGCCATGGCACAAATTTCAAAATTAGTTTAAATTAAATACAATGAAAACAGTAAAATTAACTTTATTCAGTATGTTTTAATCTATACACAAAACACAACTAAACTTATTTACTATTTATATCTATTTAGTTTAATTTAAAACACACAACCTCAACGTAATTAATTCATATTTTTTTTTAACTGAACCTTAAAACTGTTTTTGTAAACTTAGGACCGTGTAGTGGCAGGGTAAGAATATCCACTACCCCATAACATCCTGTAAATATCATAAAAGGGGACAGAATGAAACCACGCCGTGGGCAGCAGCAGCATATTCCTAATAACAACTAGAATAATATATATAACTGCAACTGCTAACCTGCTTGCTAAACGTGACAACTATGGCCATATAAGTCAATCCCCTTAAAAACAATCTATAGACAGCAGGACTCTGATAGACTATGAATAATTTTATTTTAACGTAAACTAGTGTTTCTCAACCTGTGATCCGCAAACACCTGGGGGTCCGCGAGTATGTGTATGTGATGTATGGGGATCCGCAGTCTCATCTTTAGCCTATTTAACATTAACAATAATAAATAAATGCCACCAAAAATAAAAATACAGAAACAAATTACAAATGACATCAGATTTGAGAACGAATATCACTAATTTAGTTGCAAAAAGCACCAACCTTCACATTAAGAATAGTATATGTTAATAATAATTATATAATATTAATACTAAGTTATTATAAATGCTATTATAATAACGAAAACAAAATACGTATTTTTTTATAACAAAGTATTTTTTTTATTTGTAGTACTAGAATAAATGTTTTCACTGCTTTTTTTTTAAAGGGTCCTTGATAAGTGCTCTTAGTTTCCTAGGGGTCCATGGCTAAAAAAGATTAGGAAACGCTGACCCAAACTATACTATGTTGTAGTACTTTTACTTAAGTTTACAATACTAAAAATTTACTTAAAAAATTTAAAAGAATTTACTTCTTGTTTTTGCTTATTTAAGCTACATTTCTAATTTAAATTATATTTGTTACTATAGCCATGATAAATGAGGGATTTCTATATCTATACAAATAAAATTAACGGTCCGCAGATCGCCGATGAGTGGGACGCCGAAGAAAAGAAAGCAGAAGGCGGCGCCGCGCCGGAACGAATCGGACGACGAGCCCTCGGATGGTAATGAATCGCCGGCGTACGCCCGTCTCCCGCCCGAACAGAGAATGTCGAAGGAGAAACAAAAGTTTTTTAGATTCTCCGCTTTCAATTTGGTGAAGCGGCGCCGCTGTAGAGGCTCTTCCAGCGAGTGGGAGGGCTGGGAACGGGGGGGTCGTGTGCGTGTAACCCGGGTTCAGCGACTCGAGTTGCGTCTCGAGCGTCGCTCCAACACGCCTGAAATTCCCGATATGCTTGAAATGCGGGATTCGCCTGACATGCATTCCACTCCTGACGACGCCGATCATTCCTCCTCCGACTCGGAGTCCGACTCCCGAGAGACACCTCCGCCTCCGTTGCTGCGTGCTCTGCAAGCCTACGTCCCTCCCGCACCCCCTGCCAAACCGCCCGAGCCTCCCCCTAGACCCCCGCACGTGCCCACCATCTTCGAACGCCTCGCCACCGATACAGGCCCCGGAGGAGTCTGGGGCTTTGCCGCAGAAGCTCAGAAGCAACACCAAAAAACCTTACCCACTTTCGGCTCACGAGAGCAAGCGTCTACGCCCCGACCGAATGTGGCGCCCGAGAACAATCTTCCCAAATCGCCCGATAACGGCGCCACGGATCGACGCCGACGACGAAGCAGATGCGGGGACAGACTCCTGACGACTCTGTTTGACGGCCTTTCGGAGTTCTATTCTGTTCGGACGGCGTCACGTTCGCAGTCACGGCATCGGCCCGAGAGATGTAAAGAAACCGAAGACAGGCAGGTCCTCAAGGAGACGAGAAGCACCTTTAAACGTTACCAGGCGGAACTAAGAGAAACGGAGCCCCGAAAGCGGAGCCCGTTGAGGCTGAAGCGAAGCCCCGTCAGAGTGCCGAGCCCCAAAGAGGCCGAAAGAGTCCGGGAGGGTCCTAGTTTGAGCGCGTCGCAGCTGGTGAGGAACGCGGCGGTGAGCAAAGAGCGCATCTCAGCGGAGGAGGCCGATAAACTGTACAGAGGGCTCGCGATGGCGGCTCGTCAAGCCGGCGGAGATCGGCCGGCCACCAATCAGACGGGTAAGATCGGTTCGTGAGGTGCGGTGAAAGTGTCGTGGTGGATCTGACCGTCTCGCTCTGATTGATGGCCGGCGCTCCGCTGTCTCTCTCGCGCTTGTTCGCTTTCGTTTCTCTTCCGAATCTCTGTTCGGTTTCGGGTGAGTGAGGCCGTTTGTTCGGTTAGCAGTACTCCAGTCGGACACCGAGCGCCCATAACAAACTATTTGTTATTCGGGTTTCGGCAGTATCCACACATGCACTTTCGCTCGCGCTTCTGTCCGTCGGAGCGTCTTGTACTCGCTTACGTGTGCGTCCCCTCATTTCCTTTGTGTAAAATGAACCGATTACGGTGAAGCCAAGTTAATGGTAGGTAGCATGTTCAATAAGTATCATCCATTTAATTAATATTACCTTAATTATGAATATAGTAATAATATTTTTCCTAGCATTTTTTTAATAACGAGTGCTCAAAAAGTTAAACATGGAAATTTTTAATTTGTGATATGCATTAAAATTTAATAAATAAATATATCTCATTAGATGGCACACCATAATCTGGTTTATTTATTACTAATTTTTATTCCCTACTTTTATTCCACCCATGCTTTGCTATTAAAATAAAGGTTAAAAGTGTGGTTGTAACCCAAAATATTCACATTTCAGATGGCATGAGACTACCGGCTGGTGTAACAGAAGCGGATGCAGAGTTATTTGCTCAGGCGCGAGCTAATGCCGGTGGAGTGTCTGGGGCGGAGCCCGAGGCGGTGCCGACCACTCCGGGCATTGCTCCCCCGCCTCCAAGGTGTCCCTCGGCAATAGAGTTTGGCCAATGGGAGATTGAAACTTGGTACTCCAGTCCCTTTCCGCAGGAGTATGCGAGGTTCGTTACTATTCTCCAAATAATTTTATTGAATCACAGTTAAGCAAAAACTTCATGAAACTTTTACTTTTATAAAATTTAAAATTGAAACAGTTAATGTCTTGTTGTACTTTATACCAATCGATTTGAATTTATATTTTTAAACAACTAGCAGTTAACTACAATCTTATTATCTAGCAGGCTTTTTCACTTGCCTGAATTTAATATGAGTATAGTAAAAATGTTTTAATGTTTTTTTTTAAATAGTTTAATAAAAAAAAATCATTATCCGGCATATACATGTTAATTATTTATTTTTATTTTCCAGGTTACCAAAACTGTTCCTTTGTGAATTTTGTCTGAAGTACGCGAAGAGTCGGGCAGTACTTATGCGGCATCTAGACAAGTGCCTATGGCGACATCCACCTGCGACAGAAATCTACCGATGCGGTGACATATCCGTGTTCGAAGTTGATGGAAACGCAAATAAGATCTACTGTCAGAACCTCTGCCTCCTCGCAAAATTGTTCCTAGATCATAAGACACTATACTATGATGTGGAACCTTTTCTGTTTTATGTATTGACAAAGAATGATAGCAAAGGATGCCACTTAGTGGGGTATTTTTCAAAGGAGAAGCATTGTCAGCAAAAGTACAATGTGTCTTGCATTATGACAATGCCTCAATATCAGCGGCAAGGTTATGGGAGATTCCTCATCCATTTTAGTGAGTGGTGGAATCTTTTTTCATATACAAAAGCACATTATTACAATTTCTTATTAAATTTTTCATTTATAAAAACATGATTTGATGGTGATTTTCTTATCCTCAGGTTATTTACTATCGAAAGAAGAAGGGCAGCCAGGTACTCCGGAAAAGCCTTTATCAGATCTAGGAAGAGTATCATACCATGCATATTGGAAATCAGTTATTCTCGAATACCTTCATGATCACAGAGAGAAACCTTTCACATTTGAAGACATTGCATTTACAACAGGAATGCACATGAATGACATTGCTGTTACCTTTCAATTACTTGGCTTTGTACGATATGTGCCAGATAATGATTCAATGAAATTAGGTATCTGTGTTGACTGGAATAAAGTAGACAATCATGCAAAGAAAATAAAGAGTAGACCTCGATTAGAAATAGATCCGGAATGTTTAAGATGGACCCCCTTATTAGCACCGACGGTAAATCCATTTAGATCACCAGAAGAAGGTTCTGGTGATCAAGAAACTGAGAATGAAGAAACTGAAATGAAAACAGAAAGTGAAGATACTGCAACAGAATCGGAAGCCACCATAACTAAATTGGAGACGAAATCGCAATCTGAAAAAGATGAGTTGCCTGTTGAAATTACTTCTTCTGGTAGACGGCGGACGCGTCCTCTTAAATATAGTGAATCAACTTATCAAACTACCCCAACTATCAATGATGGTGGTCGTAAAAGGAAACGAGATGTCAACAGAAAAATATCGGAAACAAATAATGATGAGGAGAAGAATAAAGATGAGGAAATACCTAAAAGGCAAAGAAGCAAAAGTGTCGCACGTAGATCTTCACGAGCTATCCAAAATGATATTAGTGATACAAATAGTATTAATAGAACTAGACGACGGAGCGTTAAAGAACCTACTTATGCGTCTGATAGCCAGGAAAGTCAAGAGAGTATTGACACCGAAGTTAAAAATACTCCAATCGTTAAAACAGTTCAGGCTAAAACGAAAAGAAAAATGGCGTGGAGGGGCCGACAGACAAAGCGACAAAAGGTTAATAGACCGGATAATGCTAGAAGTAGTTCTCCTGAAGTTAAGAAACCTAAAGTTGACGAAAAAGAGGAAATTACTGATTACAAAACAGATGATTCTCAAGGACAACATAACAACATTTTATCCGCTGCTATTGAAGAACAAGAACAGACTGCCAAAAACCAAATTGTTGATAACAAAACTGAAGAAAAGGCAAAGAACTCTGACGCTAGTTCAGAAGATTCATCCGGTGAAGCTGACGATGAAATGGATGTGGAAGAAGGGGAAGATAGGCAAAGCGTGCCGAGCAAACCTGCTACACCGCGACATCTCGAAGAAAATAGCACCGACCATCACACCAGTGATATGGAGCTTGATAGTATACACATGGACTCTCCTAAATCTATTGCTGAAAAAGATCAAGTTATAAATGAAACATCAACAATCGACAAACCTGAAGAAGAAGAGAACAGTAATGTTAAAGATATACCCGAAGATTTCAATGTTAATTCTGAAAATGCAGAACTTAAAGAAATTAGTGATGATCAAAAGGAAGATCTTGATAAAACCCCTGAAAATACCAACGGTGATATTGTTGCACCAGTGAAACCTACCCTTGATGACAAAGACACAATAGTAATTTCAGAATCCGATGATAATAATAGTCAAAGTTGTCCATTGCCTTCACCTAAATCAAATATCGTACCCATCGTTCAAAATAATGATGTTAATTTTAAAGAGATTGAAGAAAACGTAAGTCCTATAAAGATTCTACCAGTCGTATCTACCGAAAATTCCCACATTGTCTTAGATGCGAAAGTCCAAGAAGAAGTGAATGTTGTAAGACCTCCTGTCGATCTAATTGTTCCAAAAGTTCATCAAATAGAAACAATAGTCGTTGAAGGCGAATCAGACAATGCTACCTCTCCTCTAACGGGGGTTTCACCGAAGAAAAATGATAATTCTGTCATAAATGAATTTAAACAGAAAAAGCCAGAGGAAGAATGTAAAGAGATAATTTTAGAACAGAAAAAATTCGAGGTTAGAAAAGAAACAGTTATACAACATCAAGTAACAGAAGAAGTTAAACAGCCTGAGAAAAAGTCTCCTAACAAAATTGAAACAATCATACAAAACCTGGATCCAAATAGAGATATGATGAGTAATATAAAGAAACCTGACCAACCGAAAATAGATTCTTTTGTGGAATTGGATTCTCGGAGTAGTAAAATGCAAAATCCAATGACCAGTAAAGAAAGTGACCTCCCCTTTAGAAACGATACAAGTATGAGGAAAGACGAAATTGTGATTTCTAGGAACATAATAGAAACTAGCATGCAGGCTTACCAAAACTCTGTAAGCAACTCGATGACTATACAACCAATCAATTCATATTTGAATAATAGAACAACTGTAACCAAGGAATCACAAGCAGTACAGACAGACAAGGTCTCCATTAAGATAAATGAACAAAATCGTATTATAAATAATATCCCTGATACGGCTCCAGTTGTAAGCAAATGTCCGACAAAGTTGGAAGTACCTCATCCCATAACATCACCAGTGATAAATCCGGTGATACCCAAAATTCCAAATGTGACGGATATAAATTTTCTACCGCGCTGCCAAAGCGCCAACGCAGCAGTGAATTTGGGTTTGGAAAGGACCGACTTAGAAGCAAATTTTACAAATAGCAATCCCATGCAAAACGCTTTAAGTGCATCAATGAGTATTATCCATGCCAATTCTCAAGACACAAAAACTGATCCTAGTCAAAAGCCGCGAGAGAAGAGTAAGTTGCGTGACGTTAGAGTAAATTCGGCTCACAGTAAGCTCGAAAAAACTGATAAGAAAACTTCAAAAAACGAGACTCCAAGGAGCACACCGGAACTGAAGATGTTTTTTCCGGACCAAAGCGCCAACTCACGAAAGCCCGAAACATCGGTCCCAATCAACGTAATAAACACAGCGGCTGTAACAAGTAAAGTGGAAACAAAAACTACCAATGAAACCCCAAAGAAGCAAGATTTTTTTAAGAAGGAGAAATCAAATGCTGCCAAATGTGACTCAAAAAACAGTTCAGCTAAGCATGACAAGGGTTGCACCATGCAGTTAAATCTAAAAGCAGACCAAAATGACTTAAATAAAATGCTACCAAAATTTAAATATGACAATGAATTAGTCCCAAAGGCAGATTACACTATGAATCAAATTCCAAATTACCACACCACTCATGCACAGTATCAGTGGTCTGCTTGGGACCCTAGGCTTCAAGGCACGTGGGATCCCAACAGATTTTTAGATATGAAAAACAATGATAAAAACTATTTGGATAAATTCCAAGGATTCAATCTACCGCACTTAGATCAGATGCAAAAATCGCCGCAAAAACTTCCGAAGTACGACCAAAAAGATTTTCACAACCTTGCGTATGGTGCTTTATCAAGCGGGATTTACGGAACAACCGGGCTGCCTCATTTCAAAGAAACTAAAGCTCCAACGTCAAAGGCTTCGGAATGTGCGCAAAAGAACGAATGTAAACCAAGCAAGCAATCAAAAACAACAACGGCGTGCCAAACGCAATGTGAATCAAAGAAGTCACAATCACAGGCACAAAACGCAGCAGAGGCGCAACTGAAACAGATGATGCAGAGACAAGTAAATAAACAACAGGAAGTGGTCACGAGTTGTGCCGAATTCAGACAGCAAAGCCCCCAAATATTAACATCACCAGGCTGCAAGACTCCTTTTAATCAGAATGGACCGTGTGGTCAGGAGAAGACTGAAATTGAGAAGAAGTCGCGACAACAATCAAAAAAGGAAGAATCCCCAAAGGATACTAGTAAAGAAGAGATGTGTGAAGCCGTTAGCCCAGCTTTACAATCAATGGGGGTGTATACTCCTGACTCTACAAGTAATTCTGTGCACTCGGTCCAGTATCCAGCCTGTGAACTGGATGTGAGCCAGTTGGGGTTGGAGTCTCCGACCAGCATCGGATCGGACTTGGCGTCACCGTGCTCCATGATGCATATGCATCCTGTTCCGAGTCCCCAGTACCCACACTCATCAATACACATACCGTCCATCATGTCCCAGACCAATCAGCCTGCTAAGCAACAAAAGATCAACAATCGAAACAGGTGAGATCCACATATTTTTTAACTTTCTATAAGCTAGTGCTTGACCACAGTTCCACACTTTTCTCTTTTGTAAATTTTAATCACACTGTGTTTGATGGTTGAAAGAAGAGTGAGGAGTTAATTTTGTCCATGTGTAGTTGGTTGTCCCTGAGAACTAAAATGGAATGCCTTGTTTCCAGAAAAAGGGTCTCTGGTTTTTGGTACTCACGTGCGTGGTTTTTCCTCTGTTGACGCGACCTATTTTGTTACAACCATAATATAGCTGCAAATGGTTCTATCACGTCAAATTTTGCCATTGAGATAGGGAGGTAGATTGTGAAGAAAGGAATTAAAACCATTTATTCATCATCTCATAAAATCTAACAGTCAATAACTTGCTTGTGCCTAAGATCAATAGATCTATTCACCAATTTTGTTGACTTCAGAATGGTAGTCACTTCTGAAAATATACAATATTAATTAGTTTGTGGTTGGATCCGTCTGAAAAATACAGATTATTTAATTATACAGACACATCATTTTATTTTTCACATGGATCTTAGCTATTTCATTTACATATCTTAAAGGGATTTTATGACAACTGCCACCAGTGTTCAGTTTAATTAATCATTTGCAGTGCCTGGGAGGTTTACTTTGATATTAATTGATCTCTTATAATATTGATCCAGGCTGACGGATTGCATATTGACTGCCTCGTTGGTCTAATGGTCGCAAACGACTGTTAGGTCCCAGGTTCGATTCAGTTTTAGGGTTTTTCTGATAAGAAATTCTCAGTAGGAGCCTGGATTCAGGAAGTTGGCGGTGTTTCTTTCCGTGCCTTGGAAAGCTCGTAAAGCCTTTGGTGTTGCGCCTGATCTCTATCCGGTTGTCTCGGTTTACCGTCCCATAGAAATATGAGAGTGAGAGAATAGAGAGTGCACCTGTCCTTGCGCAAATACTCGGGTGGAGTGTCGGTGGATAATACTGTCCTGTCTATATGATTGTTAGTCTCTATTGAGACTTGCCGTTGTGACCAATATTCGGTTTGGAGAACATTATAATATTGTACTAGTTAAAAATATGTGATTTAGTAATGAGTGGACATTACATCGTGTGCATGTGTTTATTCCAGGAGCGCGGCGCAGAGCGGTGGCGGTGGTAGCGGAGGGGGAGGGGGCGGGGGCGCGGAGAGCAAGGCGCTGCGCGGCGCCGCCACGCCGCCCGCGCGCCACCGCGCCACGCCGCCGCACCAGCCGCACGGTCAGTTCACTGCCACGCACACACGCGCGCTCACACACACACGCACACACACGCCCGCGCGCCACCGCGCCACGCCGCCGCACCAGCCGCACGGTCAGTTCACTGCCACGCACACACGCGCGCTCACACACACACGCACACACTAGCCCGCGCGCCACCGCGCCACGCCGCCGCACCAGCCGCACGGTCAGTTCACTGCCACGCACACACGCGCGCTCACACACACACGCACACACACGCCCGCGCGCCACCGCGCCACGCCGCCGCACCAGCCGCACGGTCAGTTCACTGCCACGCACACACGCGCGCTCACACACACACGCACACACACGCCCGCGCGCCACCGCGCCACGCCGCCGCACCAGCCGCACGGTCAGTTCACTGCCACGCACACACGCGCGCTCACACACACACGCACACACACGCCCGCGCGCCACCGCGCCACGCCGCCGCACCAGCCGCACGGTCAGTTCACTGCCACGCACACACGCGCGCTCACACACACACGCACACACTAGCCCGCGCGCCACCGCGCCACGCCGCCGCACCAGCCGCACGGTCAGTTCACTGCCACGCACACACGCGCGCTCACACACACACGCACACACACGCCCGCGCGCCACCGCGCCACGCCGCCGCACCAGCCGCACGGTCAGTTCACTGCCACGCACACACGCGCGCTCACACACACACGCACACACTAGCCCGCGCGCCACCGCGCCACGCCGCCGCACCAGCCGCACGGTCAGTTCACTGCCACGCACACACGCGCGCTCACACACACACGCACACACACGCCCGCGCGCCACCGCGCCACGCCGCCGCACCAGCCGCACGGTCAGTTCACTGCCACGCACACACGCGCGCTCACACACACACGCACACACACGCCCGCGCGCCACCGCGCCACGCCGCCGCACCAGCCGCACGGTCAGTTCACTGCCACGCACACACGCGCGCTCACACACACACGCACACACTAGCCCGCGCGCCACCGCGCCACGCCGCCGCACCAGCCGCACGGTCAGTTCACTGCCACGCACACACGCGCGCTCACACACACACGCACACACACGCCCGCGCGCCACCGCGCCACGCCGCCGCACCAGCCGCACGGTCAGTTCACTGCCACGCACACACGCGCGCTCACACACACACGCACACACTAGCCCGCGCGCCACCGCGCCACGCCGCCGCACCAGCCGCACGGTCAGTTCACTGCCACGCACACACGCGCGCTCACACACACACGCACACACACGCCCGCGCGCCACCGCGCCACGCCGCCGCACCAGCCGCACGGTCAGTTCACTGCCACGCACACACACGCGCGCTCACACACACACGCCCGCGCGCCACCGCGCCACGCCGCCGCACCAGCCGCACGGTCAGTTCACTGCCACGCACACACGCGCGCTCACACACACACGCACACACTAGCCCGCGCGCCACCGCGCCACGCCGCCGCACCAGCCGCACGGTCAGTTCACTGCCACGCACACACGCGCGCTCACACACACACGCACACACACGCCCGCGCGCCACCGCGCCACGCCGCCGCACCAGCCGCACGGTCAGTTCACTGCCACGCACACACGCGCGCTCACACACACACGCACACACTAGCCCGCGCGCCACCGCGCCACGCCGCCGCACCAGCCGCACGGTCAGTTCACTGCCACGCACACACGCGCGCTCACACACACACGCACACACACGCCCGCGCGCCACCGCGCCACGCCGCCGCACCAGCCGCACGGTCAGTTCACTGCCACGCACACACACGCGCGCTCACACACACACGCACACACACGCCCGCGCGCCACCGCGCCACGCCGCCGCACCAGCCGCACGGTCAGTTCACTGCCACGCACACACGCGCGCTCACACACACACGCACACACTAGCCCGCGCGCCACCGCGCCACGCCGCCGCACCAGCCGCACGGTCAGTTCACTGCCACGCACACACGCGCGCTCACACACACACGCACACACTAGCCCGCGCGCCACCGCGCCACGCCGCCGCACCAGCCGCACGGTCAGTTCACTGCCACGCACACACGCGCGCTCACACACACACGCACACACTAGCCCGCGCGCCACCGCGCCACGCCGCCGCACCAGCCGCACGGTCAGTTCACTGCCACGCACACACGCGCGCTCACACACACACGCACACACACGCCCGCGCGCCACCGCGCCACGCCGCCGCACCAGCCGCACGGTCAGTTCACTGCCACGCACACACGCGCGCTCACACACACACGCACACACACGCCCGCGCGCCACCGCGCCACGCCGCCGCACCAGCCGCACGGTCAGTTCACTGCCACGCACACACGCGCGCTCACACACACACGCACACACACGCCCGCGCGCCACCGCGCCACGCCGCCGCACCAGCCGCACGGTCAGTTCACTGCCACGCACACACGCGCGCTCACACACACACGCACACACACGCCCGCGCGCCACCGCGCCACGCCGCCGCACCAGCCGCACGGTCAGTTCACTGCCACGCACACACGCGCGCTCACACACACACGCACACACACGCCCGCGCGCCACCGCGCCACGCCGCCGCACCAGCCGCACGGTCAGTTCACTGCCACGCACACACGCGCGCTCACACACACACGCACACACACGCCCGCGCGCCACCGCGCCACGCCGCCGCACCAGCCGCACGGTCAGTTCACTGCCACGCACACACACGCGCGCTCACACACACACGCACACACACGCCCGCGCGCCACCGCGCCACGCCGCCGCACCAGCCGCACGGTCAGTTCACTGCCACGCACACACACGCGCGCTCACACACACACGCACACACACGCCCGCGCGCCACCGCGCCACGCCGCCGCACCAGCCGCACGGTCAGTTCACTGCCACGCACACACACGCGCGCTCACACACACACGCACACACACGCCCGCGCGCCACCGCGCCACGCCGCCGCACCAGCCGCACGGTCAGTTCACTGCCACGCACACACACGCGCGCTCACACACACACGCACACACACGCCCGCGCGCCACCGCGCCACGCCGCCGCACCAGCCGCACGGTCAGTTCACTGCCACGCACACACACGCGCGCTCACACACACACGCACACACACGCCCGCGCGCCACCGCGCCACGCCGCCGCACCAGCCGCACGGTCAGTTCACTGCCACGCACACACACGCGCGCTCACACACACACGCACACACACGCCCGCGCGCCACCGCGCCACGCCGCCGCACCAGCCGCACGGTCAGTTCACTGCCACGCACACACACGCGCGCTCACACACACACGCACACACACGCCCGCGCGCCACCGCGCCACGCCGCCGCACCAGCCGCACGGTCAGTTCACTGCCACGCACACACACGCGCGCTCACACACACGCACACACACGCGCAAACAGTCCTACGCTCCGACTCCAAACGCAGACAGCCTCCCGTGACCTTGTAACATTTTTAATAGAATCCACAGTTCGGCTATATTCCGACGACAACCCAAATGTCGCCGATCTATTACACACAAACACATCTAATGTCATAAAAACCGTTAGATCACTATATCGTGGTAGTGCCATGTTGCAGATATGTTATAATTGTAGCACGAATGGGTCGGCTCGACCGGGGAAGGACCACACTCGCACAGAATACCGGCATAAAATAGCATCTTAATGCTGCTTTGTTTCGTATGATGAGTGTAGAGATATAGAAACCCCTTTTACTGGAAGCAAGGTATTACATACGAAGGCGGCACTGAAAATTTCGGGAATCACGGAAGTGACACAACATTACTATTTAAAAATGTATTTATTGCTTTTCGAAGTATTCTCCGCAAAATTTGACACATTTTTCCATACTATGCAAGCAACCATTCCATTCGGAAGTTGGGGTCTCCAAAATGGCCGTTTTGTAGGCGTCCACAGCTTCTTCAGGTGAAGAAAATCTCTGTCCACGCAATTTATTCTTTATTTTAGGAAAAGTATAGAAATCATTTGGGCCTAGGTCGGGGCTGTACGGCGGATGGTCTAATAATTCTATGTTTTCTTGCTCTAAGAACTCTTTTGTTCTGTGTGCGGTGTGAGAACTCGCATTGTCGTGATGGAGGATGATGCGGCAGTTGCAGTTCTCTTTACGGAGTTCAGAAACGACCTGTGGCAAACAAATGCTAGCATACCATTCTGCATTAACCGTTCTTTGTCCCTCAAAAGGAATAGTCGTAAAATGGTCGGTTTTGGAGACAAACGTGGCCACCATTTTTTTTGCAACACTCCGTGAACGAACAATTTTTGTTGGCTTTTAACTCATTTTCGAACACCCAAACTCGTGACTGGTTTTTTGTTTCGGGTTCGTACGCGTATATCCAGGATTCTTCACCTGATACGATGTTGTATACAGCATTTGAAGATCCTGCGTGGAATTTTTCGAGAGTTCTGACGCACCAAGTAACGCGAGCCGCTTTTTGCTCTTCACAGAGCGAATGCGGTATCCATCGGGAAAACAACTTTTTTACACCTAATTGTTCATGCAAGATTATTTGTATTTGACTCATGCCAATGTCTAAAGTTGCCTGAATTTCGCGGTATGTCACATGTCGATATTCCTCAATCAGCTTACGCACAGCATCAACGTTTTCTTGGGTGACTGCAGTTTTTGGACGACCTTGACGGGGATCATCACTGAGCTTGACACGTCCACGTTGAAATTCACCAAACCAGCGATAAATTGTAGTTTTGGATGGGGCTTCTTCACCAAATGCAGAAATCATCTGGTCAACACACTGTTTTTGTGTTAAACTACTACGAAAGTCATAATAAATCATCGCTCTTGAATTTTCTCGAGTCAATTCCATTTTCTCAACGACTAAACAAGTTTGACAAAACCTTGTGACAAGACCGAGAATCTTTTTTTAAATAAATAAATGGTATTCGATTTTTAAAACCAAGGACTTTTCAATTAAAACAAATTTAATATGACAGGAACAGTGGAAATATTCCATTCCCGATACTTTTAGTGCAGCCCTCGTATTAGTCGGACTAATTTTGATTCTTGCATTTGATTCTTAATCAAGGAGCCATTTCCATCAGGTGGATTTTGTGTTCATTTGTCACCCTTATTCTATATAGCGATCCGCCTCGATTTCGCACGATTGATTTCTCGACAACAACACAACTAAATCAATCAATTCCAATTTGAATCCAGTTGTGAATCCAAACTATTCTCTAATCAACTTAACCACTCACACAAAATGTCATCATAATCGATCCAGGCGTTTAGGAGTTCAGTCACATACACACGGAGAGAAGAATTATATAGTATAAAATATGCATGTATTATACATATATACCTTCCTCTTGAACCATTCTGTCTATTGATGAAAACTACATCAAAATCCGCGTACAGACGGCAGGAAGCGACTTTGTTTGATACTATGTAGAGATACAGTATCCCACTTCAATGCGGCAGAGTGTCGTAAAGTTCGGCGGCACATTTGAAGTAATGGGTATGTTACTTTAGTGTTGCTGTATTTGAATGACCCTATACCTTACAATGTGTGATTGACGTAATACTTGTCAAAATATAGTTAAGAAGAGATTGACGATGTGGAAATTACGATTTTATCGACTTTATTTATTATCTCCATTGCAAAATTTTTGTGAAGGCGACATGTTTGTAAAAACAAAGTAAATACGAAATAAAACAAACAAGCTATACCGTATATTATAAAAATTAAAAAGATGGCTCTTTTTTACCTTATGTATTCTATGGGTATCTTTCTTGGTCAAGTAAAGATTCGTTGATTAAAAAGACATGCTATTGAAGCATGTGATTGTTCTCTCTGTAGTTCACATGTAACAAATAAAGAGTAACGCGACGTAAATTTTGAAATATGAAATTAAAACACAACTTCCTATCCCCCACATCAATATATAGAAGACATTTAAATTATATTATCTCAATATTATTGTCATTAATATAAAGTTAGTTAGTTAGTGTTCCAATCGTGGGCAGGTGGACAGGTCTCTCAATTTTGAGAGGGTTTTTAGAGCAAAGAAATGTCTGCTGTGTTGCCTTTGAATGATTATTATTTAATTTCTCAGACATGCATGCAGGTTTCCGCATAATGTGTTCTTTCACTGCCGAGCATGTGGTAAAACAACACTTAAACCGTAATTAACAATTGTATTGGTGTGGGTAGGAATCGTAGTCAGGTTGCTTGCATACTATGATATTTACGGCTTGTGCAAAGCCCTCGAGCAGCCACTACTACTAAAACAAATCTATACAAATAAATAGAATTGAAGTATCTGTTTGTTATGTCAAAGTAACATCTTTTTACTAAATGTATATGAATGTATATACAGTTTGTACCTACTTGTAACAAAAAAAATTTATAGTTTTGTATGTCTGTCTGTTTAGTCAAAACTCCGAAATGGCTGGATCGATTTTGACAGGACTTTCACTGATCTGCCAGGGAAAGCTGATGTTATAAGAAGTAACTTAGATTATTTTTATTTTAGAAAAGCAAATAAGGGTTCCGCGCCAAAAAATCAAAACCCATGAAATTCAACCGTAATTAATTCCACGCGGACGAAATCGTGGATGAAAACAGCTGGTATAATGCTGGTAAATGTATTATTTAATTTGATTTTGTCTTTCCAAGGGTATGTATCGGAATATATATCGTAACACTTGAGTATATATCGGAACACTGACCAACTGTAAGTTGTGACATCAATTCAGTATACTTTCTTTTTTAGTTTACTATACTTGATACTGTTTAAAACGGAACACAGTCTAGTATACTGTCATCATACCCATTTTTCGACATTGTTTTCAATTGAAAATATTTATCATGTACACATTTTCTGTTCAACGAGAAAAAAAATTATTTGCTTTTAAAGCTTAAATGTCCGAGTTTATTTGAATAAGAATATTAATTAATAATAATAACAATCATTCGTGGAAGCTGTTAAATCTCTAGGTGCTGTTATGTTTGTTGGTCACATGATCGAAGTACTGAGAGCACCTTAACTCGAAAGCGCCAGTGCTCATAGTACAAAAATGTCAGTCATTTTTGACGTCATATATTTCCCTAGTGTACTGCAGCAGTATACTGGCAGTCCATAACGTAACTAATTTTTCACCAGTGAGAGCGCTGAGCAGTGCTCGCAGTATATATCAGAACATGACCCATATCAACTTTACACTTACTTCATTTTAATAAAATGCTACAACTGAACAATAATTGAACATGTACGAAATGAAATGATTATGTGTTCGTGTGTGTGTGTGTGTCAGGTGGCACTGTGATGCAGGGCAGCGGCGGGTACCAGGGCGGGTACCTGTCGTTCCAGCAGCAACAGCAGTACCATGGCGGCTGGGCGCCCTCCTGCTCGCTCAGCAAGCTGCAGCAGATGGCCGACGCGCCGCAGCACCACCCGCCGCACACACCGCCCGCCCCACCGTCCGCCGCTCAGGTACCGTCACCACCACCACCACCACCACCACAACAACCGTCCTGCTCCTCTCAGCAAGCTGCAGCAGATGGCTGACGCGCCGCAGCACCACCCGCCGCACACACCGTCCGCCCCACCGTCCGCCGCTCAGGTACCGTCACCACCACCACCACCACCACCACAACAACCGTCCTGCTCCTCTCAGCAAGCTGCAGCAGATGGCCGACGCGCCGCAGCACCACCCGCCGCACACACCGCCCGCCCCACCGTCCGCCGCTCAGGTACCGTCACCACCACCACCACCACAACAGTCCTGCTCCGCTCAGCAAGTTGCAGCAGATGGCCGACGCGCCGCAGCACCACCCGCCGCACACACCGCCCGCCCCGCCGTCCGCCGCTCAGGTACCGTCACCACCACCACCACAACCGTCCTGCTCCGCTCAGCATGATGCAGCAGATGGCCGACGCACCGCAGCACCACCCGCCGCACACACCACCCGCCCCGCCGTCCGCCGCTCAGGTACCGTCACCACCACCACCACAACCGTCCTGCTCCGCTCAGCAAGTTGCAGCAGATGGCCGACGCGGCGCAGCACCACCCGCCGCACACACCGCCCGCCCCGCCGTCCGCCGCTCAGGTACCGTCACCACCACCACCACCACAACCGTCCTGCTCCGCTCAGCAAGTTGCAGCAGATGGCCGACGCGCCGCAGCACCACCCGCCGCACACACCGCCCGCCCCGCCGTCCGCCGCTCAGGTACCGTCACCACCACCACCACCACCACAACCGTCCTGCTCCGCTCAGGAAGCTGCAGCAGATTGCCGAAGCGCCGCAGCACCACCCGCCGTACACATCGCCTGCCGCGCAGGAATCATCACCACCGTCACCACCACCACCACCACCACCACCACCACCACCACCGCCACCGCCACTGTCACAACCACCAACACCGTCACCACCACCACATATAACCCTATAATTTATTATTGTCGCCGGTCTGGATATTTTAGTGCCGCCGTGAAAAGCATGGTAATAGCACCATATATCGTAAGTAGTGAGATCACTCCGGGGTTTCTTAGTCACCTTTTGACGACACCTACGGAACGAAATGAAGTGATGGATTTTCTAACATCCCAGAAAGGGTACCCGCACACGGCACGCCTGTTTAATAATTCCAAAAATCTTTTAATTTTTATCAATCCATAACACACTACGAGATATATAGGCCTCTCATTCTGGATTTGCTATCGCAGTACAGTAGAACTCCGATTATCCGAATTAATTGGGACTGGGGTCGATACGGATAATCGGACATAAACTGGTATGTAATATAAAAAAACGAACTGTCACACAGAATAAACTATACAGTGTAAATGGTTTTACATTTTATAGAGTTTTATAAAGTGTAAAACCAGCTACACCCATTTTTTCACTGAACATTCGCGCCTTTTCACATAAAATCGATCCTGAAATCGGTTCTCCAATAGATTGTTGCTGCAGAAACCACGTAAAAACAGCATTCTCAGGCTGTTGTTCATCCTTTGCCTCTTTCATTACTTTTCGCGACGAACATCCATCACCAGTTTCCAACGCAGTCACAAAACTTAATTTTTTTTCACTGTTATTTTTAATACCAGTTAACCAAGTACTGTAAGTAAGTAAAATTACTTACTTACAGTACTTGGTTTTAATTTTTTATATTACGCTTAGGACCGATAATTGGCGTTCTACTGTACCAAATACCTGGCATATTTGACCATACTGCCCATAATTGCACATCTTTCATATATAAGGTGGTACAACCTGTCGGAAATATGGTGTCAAAAGACGTCATGCAAATAAAAGGTAATAGATGAACAAGGAGCGAGGGTTTCCCTAGCTCTGCACCGTGAGCTAGGGAAACCCTTACATGCATACTTGTATTACAGCATTTTCCATACATATTTCAGACGAGTTGTATAACCATTTATCAAAGCCATAAGGCGTTTCTGGTTTTTCCCATAGTTGCTTCTTATTATATCCACAAAAAAAATGTATTAAGTAATAGATATTTATTTATAATTTTATTTAAAAAAATAAGTTATAAAATAATAATTTTTACATACATAAATTGCACACGGATATCCAAATCTGGAACAATAATAATATTTAGACACTAGTTCCATGCGGCATCCACGGCCGATACCAATTGTTTAGTCTAAACAATTGGCCTAATTTGGGTTTGCCCAACTGCTCAAGCCAGAAGGTCTATGTTCATTAGTGGACTTTTGATGATGATACCAATATTTTTATAGAAGTCGTAAGAATATGTATTTAAAACGATAATTTTAGACGGATTACTGATAAAAGACGATGAATAAAATAATAACTATAATACATGTTCGTTAATTGGACACAAATTTCATAAAAATAAAGCAATTACCGCGTTTACAAATTTACAAAAGTTAAAATTACAAAGCAAAAAAAAAATGCGAATTACAAAGCATATTATGTTAATAATAATAAGCGCATACAATTTTTAACATACAATTGTAACCATGTTCATAAGCGGATGAATGAATTTAATAAAATTGCGTGTTCGCAGTACGGTCAGCAAGCCGGTACTCCGCCGGGCGGGCACTACCACGCCGCCAAGTACTACCCGCCCGCCCACAATCAGCTCGAATCACCACGTAACGCCAGGAACGCCACCAGTATGTATCCCAGACCTTGACAGTCTTACTAAAGGAATAATAATTACTTAGTTACTTTAATTTTATGAAAAGGCTTGAATCCATTTAGTACATAATTTTGGTTTATCCCAAATTAAGAATATCTGCTATCTTAACAAGATCACTAAACTTGATATGCAGATTGAGTTTTTAGTTCCAAACCACTTATGGTAGAGAGCCATGTTGCAGAAAATATGATTGTGGCACAAATAGTTTAGCCCGACGACACCACCACCAATATAAAATAACCGCATTATGCTGCAGTTTCATATAGTGAGTGACAAGAAATGTAGGCGATTCTTACTTGTAACAAGGCGTTACATCTTAATCCGTAGTAATGACTGCATTTTGATTAAATCAGGGCTAGATGTAGGTGTTCTATGGGAAATAGCATCTGAAAGCTATTGAGTGAACTGTGTGCTCGTTTGTCACCTTTACATATATGAAGAAGTTGTATAATATTATATATATATGAGTGATTCTTATATCATGCAATAAAATGAAGAATTTAAAAAAACATTCATATTACAAGGATTTATTTATCTATCGTGTTCTAGGTTTTAATATATAAAACATTATGTATGAGGCACTTTATTCTACTAATTACCTTAAGAGTTACAAGTCATTTAAATTTACCGCACGGGACGGGAATGAAATAAAATTTAGGGGAATGAAATAAAACGTTTATTCTTAACTAAAAACTAATCAACAATATTCATTAGGTGACAAATTTAACTTACCTATCTACCGTACACATTTGGACTTTTTAAAATAATTCACAATTATTTAAATAATTAAGGTGGGTAATATTGATGACAAAACTGTATGTATAGGTACGTTATTTAACAAAAATACTCTCGTGTATTTTTTACGTTGATTCTAAGAACCGATATTGAAACTCTTAAAAAAACAATAAAATGTACGGCATCAAGAGCTTATAAAACACGATAGGTACGCCACACATTTTTTCAATTTATAATAGTTTGATTATGGATTTTGATAACCCACTTGACAAATTTATCAAAATTCTTGTTAGTTACATATTGTAATTAATAATTATATCTAACAAATAACCAACGACACAAAAAATTATTAATAATCTTCAACAAATCAACAAATATGAGCTACAAATATTTGGTTAAGCAATCAAATTATAAAAATACTTATTATTATGTATAATAATTAAGGTAGACGCTGCGATGATGAAGGTTGGAGTTCATTTTGAGGAACGACAGTGGAATCAATTAATGATTCAAAATGTTTCGCAATGTCACACGATGAAATATTATAAGTGCTAGAATTCCTAATTTCAAGTTGTTTATCATCAGCAAAATGCCGTTTCCTAGAAATCCTCAGATTGGTAACATTTAGACTAATGTCTGAAAGAACCGAAACCTTCTTGGATTCCGCTATAACCTTTTTCACAACAGGTCGATGAGATTCTTTTTGCTCCGGGTCTTGAATCAAGTTTATAAAGCCTAAATGTTTTCCATGTAAACATGGACTTGGTATACACATACACGAGAAGCAACTTAAGCTTCTAGCAGCCATGACAGGTGTTTTAGTCTCCCATAAAACCTGATGTATACGTAACGTACCTTCAAAAGAAGGAACTGTGGCAGGCAATAACGCTTCTATATTCATAATATCAACTTGGTCAACAACTTCAATTTGAATGTTACTCAAAATTTTCGAAATGTCTCAAAGCTGTTAGAAAGTCTACAAAATTACACGACCGTAACTAACAACACGATCCATTCTAGTTTTTAAAGCACCGCCTACCCCATCTGGTGCACCTTTACCGTGGCCAGCCTCACTATAACTCCATGTAACAAATGCAAGTCCATAAAAATCTACATGTAATTTAGAAATCACGCAAAAAGTAAATTTATTGCGGTACTGACTAGTTGGACCGTCAGACATAAAATGAATAGGGTTAACGTGAGGATTGTTATTTTTGATGTAATGTAGTAAGAATTTTAAGTGTGCCCAAATAGCAGAAGTAGTATGAATATAAATATAAATAGCAAAATGATCGGGGAGTTATCACCCCAAAATTGATCACAAATGTATACTATCGGTGTATGTAGGCTAACATGTTGTCGACTACCAACAAAGTGAAGTGACTGGACCTCTTCAGCGTATTTGAGAGTGTAATTCTCACTTCAGTCACAATGAATAATAGCCTCGGTCATTTTTAGATTTGATTTGATTTCATTTAAAGATTTGTATTGAGCAAGAATATTTTGAACATGTGAAAGAAATTTCTCAATTTACTCTTCTACTTTCGATATAACTGCTCTAGCAGGCTCTACAGATTTAATTTTAGATAATAATGACTTGGGGTTTTCTTTCTTAGTAACCCATTGGTAGTAGTCTACTCTTGTTGAATCATTAAACGCTAAATACTTAACACTCTTATTCTTGCAAGACCCGCACAAACCACCTAAGCATTTTTCATCATATTCATTGCAGCACGAAGATTTAAGCAGTTGACTTACATTACTTTCTGACATAACCCTAGCTCGATGTAAGCCAGAAACCAACAATTCCATATTTAAATGGGTCTTACATAGACAAGAGTCTCATCTTTTTCGTGGGAAACATATCCAAAATGGTCGTAGCTTACAAAACGAGGAATACTAAAATTTTTTTTAAATATCAGTTAATGTACCTGACAAATACCTTTTTGCTTTTCTTACACCAGACTTCTTAATATACTGATTTTTGCCAGGTGCTAAATAACTAATTATATCTATCTCAAAAAATCTCACACCTATATTTTAAAGCTTTTCTTTATAAGAGACATCTTGTTTCTTCTTGCTGACTTCCTTATTATCTTTATTGTCTTTACTTTTATTTTCTTCTAAAGATTTTATAAGATTTCTGTATTTTAAATTTTGTTTCTAAAATAATATAGTTTGCCTCAATATTTTATTTTCTTTATTCATTTAGTATCGCAGTTTTCTAATTTTGGTTTTACATAAACAGTTGCTTGATGTGCTCTGCATAAGTTAAAGTAGAGGGAATAAAATCTAGGCGAATGAGAATTTCACATAAAAACTCAAAATGAGCAATAAAATCGTTCGAATTATGAGAGAAAAAGTAGCGCCTTAATAGTTTCTTATTGCCATTTACATAATAAAAAAGTCATATCGTGTAGATTAAATATACTTACCGAGATCTGAAGTACTTTAAGAATGAAAGTTACTTGGACAAACTCCGTACAAAAAACAATCCGGCATTATATCGTATAGACAAAACACATGCGTTCTTCTTCGGTGGCTTGCGGCAAATGTTTGAAGAAGCCCTGAAAATTCGATGTGAGTAACGTTTGCGGTGCGCGGGGGGCTGCTGAATTAAAGTCGGGTTCATAATTTGTTGGGGTAATGAACAAAATGGAATTACAATTTTTCTCTTTGGATTCTTAGGCCTTTAAAGAGTTAATGAAATAACAAAGTTATCGATATGTTATTCAGTCCTTATCAATAATGTCAAAAGAAATTAATTTGATGTAATTTTTAGAACAAAAGTATATAAGTCATGAAGAACAATGTATAACTACCAAGAAAAATCCTAGGATAATGAAAAAAAAAAGTCCATATTTCCTTAAAAAAAATTTATAACAAAATATACACACAAATGTCATACCTGCCATTTTAAAACGAGAAATTAGAAATAATATAGTATTTTTGTTTATTTAATATATGTTCATTTTATGATAATTAAATGGATAAATCAGTTTTATTGCGTGATATAAGAATCAGCCATATATATATGTATATACATACATACTTAATATTGACCAGTAATATCATCATTGGTTTTCATTGTTATCTACAAATAAATAAAATTGAAGTGTCTGTTTGTAATGTCAAAATTACAGTTTTTACCAAATGCATATGAAAGTAAATACGGTACTTATAACTATAATACAATTTTTAAAATTTTTGTCTGTCTGTCTGTTTGTTCCGGCTAATCTCCGAAACGGCTAGACCGATTTTGACGGGATTTTTACTGAGAGATAGCTGATTTCATAAGGAGTAACTTAGGTTACTTTTATTTTAGAAAAAAAAATTAGGGTTCCGCGCAAAAACATAAAAACAGCTAGTATTTAAATATAACTTCACAATCTTTTATTATAAGACACTTCATCTGTTAGTCCTTAATCAATCGAGTATTACGTATCTACAGCGTGGATGGGAGTTAAACATTCCTTAAAAGCTAATGTCAATATACATAATAAAAATCCCACTATCCACTGTTACTATATTTTTTTATGGTAATCTCCAAAACCAATCAACTAATTTTAATGACATTTTGTAAATGTATATTCCTTGCTTCGACTTGAGAGATAAGATTAGTGATTTTATCAAGATAAGTGACCCTTAATATTTTTATTTAAGGATTTTTATAGGACAAAGGGTTGTCAGAAAGGGCAGAACGTCTGTCTGGTCAACTAGTAATATATAAACACATTTTCGAAAATTGGAAAATCACTGTTTGTGGTGATCATTAAATTTTCATAATATATTTGCTAAAGTAGCCACACTTGGCAAGCTGGTTGGCATCCACAGTTTTTTTTATTTTTTATTATTATTAGCAAGACGAATTACTGAATGATTAGGGGCTTAACTTGGGGAATGATTGGGTTAGTGTCTATTCTTACACCACCACTATGAGGAGGCATATGTTCAGCAGTGAACTTTAATAAAATGTAATTAACTTTATTAAAATGTAATTAAGAAAATGTAATAATATCATTGATTAACCAATAATTATAATTTAAATTTAAGGTATAGTTTAAAAAAAAATTATTTTAATTTTGTAATGGATCTGTGTTGTCTGTATCAAATAAATTATTATTATATTATTATTATTATTATATGGGGCTATCTATATAGTTTACTCATCTGTTTGGGCTGTATAAATACATAATTGTAAATGAAAATGATAAACATACATAAATATCAACAAAATAAAATAAATGCATAAAAAATACATAAATAAATGATTATTATTATTATTAATAGACTGTAACGGTAATGGTATTAAATTTTCAAGTTCTTGAATTATTTCAATGTTTCAATAAAGGATATTTTCATAGCTGCATATACTTTGCAGGCAACTTGAGCCCGATGCAGCACATGCAAATGGCACCCGGGTCCCGCATGTCGCCAAACATCAACACGCACATCATCAGCCAGTACGGGCTGAACGGGTACCGGGTGCCTCCGCAGCAGCAGTTCAACAACCTGCAGATGATGAACGTGCAGAACGTGCAGTACCCGGCGGCCGACCCGCGCGCGCAGCAGCCCAACGTGTACGCGTACGCCGGCTACATCAACCCGCCGCCGCCTCTCGCCATGCAGACCCTCAACTCCACCATGCGTCGGTAGCCTCCACCCAAGTCACAGTGATCGTGCCCTGAACAGTGATAAGTGAACAGTGACTGTGAACATTGGCATTCCAACTTTAGTGACTGTGACGGCTGACATCAAATACCCGGACCAAATCACTGGATTGTATTAAATTAAGGTATAGTACAAATAACAGTAACACTTGTTTATAAACTAAGTTTGTATATACAAAAAGAATAATTAACATTTAAACACCACTTCTGTTGCCTTAACCTTTTGCACCTTGAAATTTGTATTGACTCAGTGAGAATGGCAGCTTTGTTATTTTGTATCATATGTACGTAATTGTGTCTCGTATTGAGATTTCCCAGAAGATGATCCCGGTTTTAAGCTGAATAAAGTACAAAATTTCAGATTGAATGTATTTAATACTGTTTATAATGTCAGCGAGGATATAGTATAGTTATATAGTGCAATAAGTTAACACTAGTATTGCTGAAAGGTTTTTTATAACTGAGGAATCTATGTGGAAGCACCCAGTTGCTGTTCTGTGATAATCTAGCGATTGGACAGTGATCTAGTGGCGTGTGCTTAAACCGTAAATTAATATATTCTTAATTTCCAAAGAAACAATTGTAAGTATTAAGTATTTGAATTATGTTGACTCGAGTGCAATCCTTTTGAATATCCAAATTGTACTTTTGATGTGAAGATTTCAGACCTCATTCTTTATTTGTATATCCTGATTTTCATAGTAACATGCGTAATTTTGTACATTATTGTCTGTACAGTCAGCGTATTTAATTATAATATTTATGATAAGTTCTCTGTTCTTTGAAGTGCCTCTTCTCATCCGGTATGTTTAATTTCCTTGTAAGATATTGTAAATGGTCCGCTTCTACTTAACAATGGCTGTATACATAGAAAACACGATTTTAGCATAATTGTATAATAAAATGACGATTATTAATTATGAATGTGATAGTTGGCGGGAATCTTTTAGTGTTGCCCTCCCGTGCAATTTTTCCGGGTCACATTGACAGGCCTAAAGGACGGTTTTTTATATTTTGTATTCTTATTTTTACACTGATAGATTTTAAATATTTTATGTTACAGATAGTTTTTTTTTATCTTAAGCACTTAAGGATTATTTTCGTGTTATCCCAGTTAATTTATTGCCAAATGTTATTAACCCTTATTTCTCGAGATTAGTGGTTAGGCGTCGTGTGGCGGGTTGCGTCCGCTCCATATATAATTTTGTAAGATCTGCTCCTCTAAGGTTATGAATGTTATTTGTTACTAATGTGTAGTATATTAAATATTGTAAATACAGTAATGTACTTGTAGCAGGTGTTATTACACAAAATATAATTTTGTGAAAAAAAGCATTTTTTATTTTCATAGCATAACCAATTATTATATTATTATATTGTATATGTGGCAGAGCCACTCTGCCATTGGTGTAGCTAGATACCTTGGGGCTAGGCGGGGCAGTGCCCGGAGCCCCTGAGCCTCCATGAACTATGTCTGAAAAAGTTATACATATAATATCCTAGTTGAATTGAAAAAAAGACATTTTTTTGGCCCCTGATCAACAAACCTCAAATGGCTCGAACTAAAATCACTAAAATTTCTCCCACCTCTAGAACATAAATATTATAAATGTCTTAAATAACCTTAAAATAAAATCATCTATTTCGTTTTATTGTCTATATACCTATATTATTAACCGTAATCTATTTCGCCATTGTTAATTTATATCAGGGATCGAATCGAGATCATTTTATCGGGATTAAACGGTGTGCTAAATTTCATACAAATCCATACAGTAGTTTTTAGTGAAAGCGTAACAAACAAACAAACTTTGACATTTAAAATATTACTAGCAACCTGCCCCGGCGGTCTGTGTCGGCATTACCGCTATGGGATCTATAGGAGCACCCGTGGATCGGGGATGGTCGTCGCTGTCTACACGCAGCCATAGGATGGACAGGTCCGTAACTTCAAGACTGTCGAGACGTCAAAAACATACCCCAGGTAGGAGAGATATAAAGTATCAGTCGGAGAGGACACCTGTGTCTCGGTGAGAAAGAGCAAGGTCGGCTTTGCCGTCTCCAGATGGTAGTGGACGGCGTCAAGGTTCGAATGAAGTCTCCTGAAATTCAAAAGGTTGCAGAAATTCACAAATAGCGCGGCAGGGGTCGCCTTTGTTTTATTGCTTCGTTTGCCCCGACCAGTATTAGTCGTAAGCGGAATTTCGCCAAATGAGCGGATGCTCAGCGAGGGATTCTCCGACATCAGGGGTGCCGATACCCGCCTGGGGTATAGTGTCTTATTTAATTCCGCTACCATGTGAAGTGGCGGTCAAGAATATCCACTACCCCATATCTTCCCGTGGGTGTCGTAAAAGGCGACAAAGGGAAACAGGCAAGAGATGGGCAGCAGCATCTTCCTGATAATAGCTAAAATTACAATAAAAAAAACTGCGGTTGCCAACCCGCTCGCCAAGCGTGGCAACTGGCAAATACCCCCCTAGGAAGAGAGTAACAAGGAGACGGCCCCCAGTCCCCGGCGGCCCCGCTATTCCTGGCTACGGCGGCGACCATAGTAACGGTGGGGCAGGGGGTGCTAAGAATCTCCGGTGGAGGTTCGGTTGCCACCTTAGACGACACGACCTGGCAACGTACAACGCACGCACCCTGAGGACTGACGAGAAGATCGTGGAGCTGGAAGAAGAGACAGACAAGTTACGCTGGCATATTATAGGATTATCCGAAGTCCGAAGAGAGGGGGAGGACATGGTAATCCTCGAATCCGGCAACTTGCTCTATCACCGGGAGGGTGACCATCTGTCCCAAGGAGGTGTCGGATTTATCGTCCACAAGTCTCTCGTTAACAACGTTGTAAAGATTGAGAGTGTGTCGACGAGGGTTGCGTACCTTATACTCAGAATCACCAAACGGTGAAGGTCATACAGGTTTACGCACCAACCTCGGCACACCCCGATGAGGAGGTGGAGGAAATGTATGAGGATATCTCTAGAGCCATGCATTCCTCCAAAACCCAATATACGGTGTTAATGGGAGACTTCAATGCAAAACTAGGCACAAGAGAGAACGGTGAGCTGAAAGTAGGGAAATTTGGAATAGGGCAACGGAACCCAAGGGGCCAGCAGCTGGCCGACTTCATGGAGAAAGAGGGACTCTTTATGATGAACTCTTTCTTCCAAAAGCGGCCCCACAGAAAGTGGACCTGGTCGAGCCCCGACGGTTCGACAAAAAATGAGATTGACTTCATTATGACGACCAGACGACAACTGTTCAGTGATGTCTCCGTGATCGCGAGGGTGAAAACTGGTAGCGATCACCGAATGGTTAGAGGCACACTGAACCTAAACGTTAAGTTGGAGAGGTCTCGTCTAATGAAGTCAACGCTCTGTCCCCCTCGTGCTCTGTTCCAAAGTCCCGAAACCTTTCAGCTCGAGTTACAAAACCGTTTTCAGTGCCTAGAAGACTGCAATGAAGTGGACGATATGAATGACAAGCTCGTGGAAACTGTCCATGCGGTCGGAGCTAAGTTCTGCAAGACCCGCCGCAGAAGAACACAAAAACTCTCCGATCACACTCTTAATCTCATGGCTGTTAGACGGGAGATGAAGCTACATTCTTCAACAGATTTGACAGCATACAGGCAACTGAACAGACGGATCTCCAAATGTATGCGGCGGGACTTACGCAACTTCAATACAGCTTGTATTGAAGAAGCGATCGAGCGAAACCAAGGCTCCAAAGTCTTTGCCAGAGATCTGTCTGCCAGAAAGAGCCAACTGTCAAAGCTGAAGACAGAGTGTGGCAGCATCGTTTCCGGGGCACCTGAGATTTTGAGTGAGATTGAGAGGTTCTATGGACAGCTGTACACGTCATCGTTGGAGCCACACGCAAGTGTGAGTAACGATCCAAGAGCGAGTCTTATCCGACATTATTCCGAAGATATCCCGGACGTCAGTCTGAGCGAGATTAGAATGGCTCTCCAGCATCTTAAAAACGGCAAGGCCCCAGGCGAGGATGGAATTACAGCGGAGCTTCTGAAAGCGGGTGGAAAACCGGTACTTGAAGTCCTTCAGAGGCTCTTTAATTCCGTCCTCCATGGTGGCATTACACCGGAGGCGTGGAGCAGAAGTGCGGTGGTCTTGTTCTTCAAGAAAGGTGACAATGCTCTCTTGAAGAACTACAGACCTATCTCCCTTCTGAGCCGCGTCTACGTGCTGTTTTCGAGAGTCATTACGAATCGTCTCGCACGCAGACTTGACGACTTCCAGCCTCCCGAACAAGCCGGTTTCCGAAAGGGCTTTAGCACCATAGACCACATATATACCCTTCGGCAAGTTACAGAAGTCCGAGGAGTACAATTTGTCACTATGTCTGGCGTATGTGGACTATGAGAAAGCCTTTGATTCCGTCGAAATTTGGGCGGAGCTGCAGTCTCTTCAGCGGTGCCAAGTTGACTATCGGTATATCGAAGTGCTGAAGTGCTTGTACAGTGGGGCTACGATGGCTATCTGAGTACAGAACCAGAGTACAAAACCTATCCAATTGCAGAGAGGTGTAAGACAGGGTGACATTATATCCCCGAAACTCTTCACCGCTGCATTGGAAGACGTTTTCAAGCTTCTGGACTGGAAAGGATACTGTATTAACATCAATGGCGAGTACATCACTCACCTTCGATTTGCCGACGATATAGTCCTTATGGCAGAATCGCTGGAGGACCTAAGCATTATGCTCAATGACCTCAATAGTGTCTCCCAACGGATAGGTCTTAAAATGAACATGGACAAAACAAAGATTATGTTTAATGTCCATGTCACACCTATGCCGGTAGTTGTTGGGAGCACTAAGCTCGATGTTGTTGACGAGTATGTTTACCTGGGACAAATAGTCCGACTAGGTAAGTACAACTTCGACCTAGAGGTCAATCGACGGATTCAACTCGGCTGGGCAGCGTTCGGGAAGCTACGACACATCTTCTCGTCAGACATA